GGGGAAGCAAAGAAATCTGCGGGGGACATGAATTCTGTGCATGCCTAGTGGTGCAGAATTCCCCCAGAAGTAGTACTAGAGGCGCTCGGAGTGACGGGGATCAGCTCCTCCAAGTGCACGAGGCCTCTGCCTTCCCACCACAGTGACCCGCTGAGGTCTCAGATCCCATGGCAACTGCTCATGCAGCCACTGGAGTGAACCCCCACATGACTAGTCCCTTCCACCTAGCCCCACAGCTGGCCCTAGCCCCTTCCTCCCCCCATACTAGAGCCCCGATGCTCCCCCATGTAGACAGTGTGATGCCAGCTAGCCCTTGTGTTGGCAAGCTGGATGGGTGCTGGGGGTGGAAGGAGAGAACACAGGATGGGTGAGCATTACAGGGTGGGGCTAGGCTTTGTAGCTCCACTGACTTTCTTGTGTGTCCTTGCAGGAGATTGACAGTGTCTGGATCTCCAGTAAACTCCTGAGTCATGAGCTGCCGTAAGTACCTGCCCTGGCTCTTTCCTCGCTCTCCTTTCTGTGCTTGGGAGCATGGCTAGACCCTGACCCTGCCCGCTTGCCAGGGTTCCCCAGCTCTGCCTGTGGGGCTCGGCCCGCTGCTTTCTGCCGTAAGGAGAGACCCGTCTCTGGGCACAGGAGTGTTCTGCTCAAACTCCCCTGGCTGTGCAGACTGTGCGGGGGCAGGACACGGGGGCATCATGGGTGGCTGGGCTGATGTAGGGGAAAGACTCATGCCATCCAGGCTGTGTTGAACAGCAGTAATGCCTCCTGTCGCTGTTCCTCTGTGCAGACGCTACCTCGCGCTGTGTTTCGGCGAGGTGCGAGTCCGCATGGATCTCCAGAAGGCACCGGCAGCAGGGCCCCCATTCCCTGAGGCTCCAGCTGAGAGCGGCAGAGAGGAGAGCAAGGGGGACCTGCCCATTAAGCCCTCCCTGCTGAGAGTCCTGAGCCAGGTAAGTCTCTGTGTGCTGGATCCGAGGAGGAGGGTGGGCGGGGACCAGGCCTAGCTCCCGGCACACACTCCTCACTGTGGCCCCCTTGCTTCTAGCTCATCTCGATTCATGTGGAGTCCATCAATATCATGGTTCTGCACGTGGCCACCTCCGAGTCTCTGTGGCACATCCAGGTCACCAGGACACGCCTGCTGTTGGACAGCGACGGGAAGCGGTAACTCCACCTTGCTCTGGCCTGTGGGACCAGGGCTGGGTAACAGCCACGGACAGCTCCCTTGGCTCGGGAGAGCTTTGTTGTGGCCTTTGTCCTGGGGGACCATTCCCACCCTGTGCCTTGTAGATCTGGGCTGGGGGCCTGCCACTGGGACTCCTTCCTGGCAACATCCTTTCCAGTCACTGGCACTACCCCGCCCCCCTCCCGAGGGCTGTTCAAATCCTGATCTTCTACCCCCCTCTCTTGGGCAGCAGCTCTCTGTGGCCACTGGAGGGCGCCCCAGGAGCATGGCACCCTAACCCTCTCCCTCCAGGGACTGAGACCATCCCAGCCCCGGTGTGATGCCTGGTTCTTGCAGAGGACAGCCTCCTGCTGCATGGTCCGGCTCTAGGGTGGATGCTCTGTCTGGGAGCAGGGGCTGTAGCCCAGACCTGGCTAGGAGGCAGCAGGGCCCCTCTGTGCCTGGCAGGTGTGGTCTGAGCTTTCTTCTGCTCTCCCCCCAGCCTGGACTGTGAGGTGACCCTGTCCCAGGTGAACAGCAAAGTGCTGAAGAGCAGCCAGCTGGTGAGTATCCAGGGTGGGGCCCTGCAGCAGCCAGGCCCCAGCGCCTGCTCTTGGGGAGCTCCTGTGCTATGGCCTGAGCCCAGCGAGCGGTGCTAGCAGGGGGGCGTAGGGCTCTCTGCACTGGGACCAGGCTGCCCGTGGGCACTGCTTGGGGCTGCACCCGATGCACATAAACGGGGTGGCTGGAAGCTGCCCCCATCACCACCTCGCTCTCCTTGACCCTCTGTCCCCCCGTACAGGATGACACGTGCCTGGCAGAGCTGGCGCTGGCTCTTGCCTTCTCCATGGAGGTCAATGTGAGCAAACGGCAGCTGGTGGGCATCAGCCTGGGCGTGTGGACCCTGCACGCAGAGCTGCACGAGGGGCTGTTCTGCAGCGAGCTGCTGCGCCGGGCAGCCAACGGAGTGAGACGCAACGGCGCAGGGGACCAGCCAGGCTGCCAGGCCCCAGGTCGGCCAGCCCTGTTCCCTGGGAAGTCTCTGGGGCTGTGGGGAGGGGAGAGGGTGCCCCGGGGCCCCCATGTTCCCTGCGCCCCATAGAGTGTGTCTGCCAGAATGGGCATGGGGGTGGTTTATGCTGTCTTGGGTCCCAGCCAGGGGTTCCCCTTGGGCAGGGCAGGCCATTGCTGCCTCCTGCTGGGGGGAGTGGGGAGTTCTGGGGCGAGACTCCTGCCTGTGACCAGGTCTGTCCCTTGCTCCCAGGCCCCGGGGAGGCCCCGAAGTCTCTGCCTCTGCTGAGCTTGCGCACTCTGCAGCTCATCCCCAGCAAGGCGAAGGTGGAGCTGGAGAACACCAACGTGGTGCTGTCTGTGAACAGCCAGCAGAGGTAATGGGGAGAGAGGGCTGGCACCATGACAGGCCCGAATGCCCAGCCCAGCTGCTCGGCCACCCCTCCCCCCGCAGGCACTCTCCTGAGGCCCATGCCTCTCCCCTGGCTACCCTTGGCTGGGCATCCCCTCCCCGAGGGTCTCCAGGCGTGAGTGGCCCCTGGGGGAGGCAGGATTGCTGTAGGTGAGAAGGCCATGGGCCAGGCTCCGGGTGGCTCTGGAGTGAGGGCGGAATGAGCATGGCCTGGGCTCCCTTGGTCGCCCTCCCTTCTAAGGCCGTGAGGAGCGCTCTGCCCCGGCTGGGCTTGGCAGTGTTGGGGCAGGAGGGGCCGGCTCCCTTCTGGCTGTCCTGTGACTCGGCCTGGCTCCGGTTCTTGTGGGTTCAGGCACCTCACGTGGACCCTGAAGCTGCTGCAGTTCCTGTATCAGCGAGACGAGGAGCAGATCCCGCTGCGGAGCTTCACGCCTACCTCCGACCTGGGCCAGATGAGCACAGAGCTGCTGCTGGAAGGCGAGTGCGGGGGGGCTGCTGGGGGAGGAGTGGCTCTGTCCAGGGGACCCTGGGAGGAGGAGGGGAGACCCACACCACTCGACCCACTTGGATGGGGCTCCTCCAGCTCCGCAGCATGTGCGTGGGGGTGGCTGGCTGGCTAATGCCCAGGGCCCTGCTTGGTGACTCTGCCGCCCTTCTCCCCACAGATGGCCTGCTGCTGTCCCAGAGCCGCCAGCGCATCGTGTGCCTGAACTCCCTGAAAGCCAGCGTGCAGGTGAGTGAGTGAGTGACTCCGGCCGCTGCGTCCTGGCACCTACTGCACCCGAGCCACGCTGCCCATCGGTGCCCGCAGGCCCTGAGCTGGCTGGGCCTGTTTACATGCAAATGGGCAGCGGGGAAGAGGTCTTGCTCACACCTCCCGCGTCCCCATCTCTAGGTCACGGCCATAGACCTGTCAGCTGTTGTGCTGCTCAATACCTGCATCGTCCACTATCGCCACCAGGAGTTCTCTCACTGGCTCACCCTGCTGGCCCAGGAGTGCCGGGCTACTGGCCTGCCGGCCCCCCTCCAGAGCCGCAGGGGAAGGTACGTGTGGGCCCCGGGAGGGGTGAGGGCTGCTGAGCAGCCATGGTTGCCTCCCTCGGAGCTTGGGCACGGCACACACAGTGCCCCGGTTTCAGGGTTAACTGCACCTTCCCTTCCCCGCCAGCTTCCTCCAGGGCATCCACTTAAGGCTGCAGGCTCCCAGCCACGGGGAGGCCCGGGTCTCGCCCTCCAGACGGGGCTACGCCGATGTCTGCCAGTTGCCAGGCAGCCCCCACAGAGCCAACACCTTTCTTCATAGGGGAAAGCCGTGCTGAGAGAGCGTCCACCCACCCCAGGGCCTGGCCATGCGCCCGGGTCAGCCAGCAGCCTGAGGGGCCCTAGCCAAACCCTTCCCAGCCCTGCCGCACTGCGGGGCCCTGGCTGGCTGCTGAGTCACAGGAAGGCCTGGGGAAAAGCGCTTTCTTTGTGTGCTGGGCTCCGGGGAGCAGTAAATGCAGCCCCCCAGGGCCTATCGCCTGAGGGACTCACCTCGCCGAGCCCCGCGGGAGGAGCCGTGGTAACCCGCCCCGCAGAGCTGCCTGCCAAGCCCGGCCAGCGGTGAGCCAGGAACCGTACCGGGCGGGCCCCAGAGGTGCTGCACCCCGTGGAGCGTTCCTGCCCTGGCCCAGAGCACGGCCCGGCTCCCTCCACTCAGCAGGAGCTGCGCAGCTTGGCCTCTCCGCAGGCGAGAAGCAGGGGCTGGGCTGGCCGTGCGGCCTGCTGAGGCCCTGGGACAGGAGCTCCCTCCGGGGCCTGTTCTGTAGCAGGGTAGCTCGGGCTCACTAATGCCATGGCCCCTCCTCACCCTCTGGCAGGAGCTGCCCCCAGATCTTGGCTCCCATCATCCTCTGTGCCTCCCTGTCCAACGTCAGCATCTCTGTGCAGCTGGGGGACACGCCGCCCTTCGCGCTGGGCTTCAACACCGTCTCTGCAGGTAGGAGCCTGCGGCATGATCGGGCGAATGCCATCCCGGCCGGGGCAGAGCAGGGCCCGGGCTTTGGCTGCTGTCATGCCCAGGGGCCCCTCCTCTGCTTTGGAAAGGGCTCTGTGGCTTCCGGGGCAGTGCCAGCAGCTGCAGCTGATGGAGAAGGGGCGGGTCTGGGCCGGGGCCCTCCAGCCTGGCGGGAGGGGATGGGGATGGGAATGGGCGCTCCAGCCTGGCGGGGAGGGGCGGGAGGGGATGGG